AAAATACTAATAGTATGTATGATATGTGGATGGTTTTTATTACTAGTCGGAGGATGGAGAGGGTAGTTGCTGTTGGGGAAGGGGAGAGGGATAGACGGGGTTTGAGTATGGTTGTATGAGATCTGCAGTGTGAGGTTGCGTGGGAATGGTATGAATTGTGGGTCGTTTTTAGGAGGGGATTTGTGGGTGATTTTTGGGGGAGTTTGGAGTCTGGTTTTGTTGATTTTTTGCTGGGTTTTGTCATGTTTGTGCTTTACAATTTGTACATAATTATTTTTATTATCAATACTGATGGTATGTAGCTAATTAATCCTTTCAAACTTCCCTCGCTTATGAAGTTACAATCCATCTAACCCGAATCCCCCACAACAAAAATCAGAGCTAAACAAACCTCCCCCATAAACCCAAATTTCAAACTCCAAACCCCGAAATTAAATCCCGAGCTCAATTCCCGATACCGATACCAACCAACTTCCAAGAAAAAAAATTTCTGGAACACAGATCCGAAACATCAACTCGGGACGGATAGTGTAGGCAGCTAGGTAGTAGGTAGGTATCTGTAAGTAGGGTACCATATATATGTTACACGGCAAGCGGGCCGAATCTCATGGGTGCACCAAGCTATCTATCCACCCGAGAAGCACAGGATATATGAAACTCGGCCGAAGTCGATACGAATACGGGATAAATAGCAGTACGAGTTAGATATGAGTTAGATACAGATGACGACGACACGGAGGAGCTTTCTGGAAGTTCTTTTTTTTTCTTTTTTGTGGGTACACATATGTGCTTTACTTTACGTGGTACGATTACGTACTTGGTATGTAACTTTACTTGGTATGCAACTTGGCAAATATGCAACTTCCAACATCACCTCTCGCGCGCGGCTGTTTGAGATTTGTTGATTTTATGTGTTTGAACCTGTTTGTGTGTTTTATCTAAATAATTATAATCTCCAGTTCTGTGTAACAACCTGTAATGGAAAAGATCTGCGAACCAGGATATGATGGCCAATGGTGGTTTTGTACCGCGAACGAAAACCTGGCACTAGAAGCACCTCTGATGCATCTCTGATGCATCTCGGCAACCTTCGCAATCACACCAGGTTACCCGGATCGCGCAGTAACCAATAGGGATTGCAACGAAGCGAGGTGGGAACTGAGCAGTGGCCGAAAACCGGTTTTTGAGGTCGATGGCATTCCAAATGTTTCTTGCACTTACAGACGTCGCAATTCTGCTTGGGAAAGTAGCAGGGCGCTCGCATTGCAGTTGGCATCTATAAAATAAGACGATTCCACCGTCCATTTTGAATCCTGTAGCCACTGCTTGATGCGACTGCCGTATAAAAAAAAGGTGGGTTTTTACCTATGGTAACATGCTTTCCCCAATGCTTCTTCTTGAAAACAATGAACTGACGAGCAGTAGCATGTGAAACAGAACAGTAACAGGTAAAAGGTGAGTTACACCCGTATTAACATACTTTTCCCGCTGCTTTTTCTGAACTACAACGAAACTTATCTAACATTTCAGGCCAGAAACATTGCCGATGGGGGCTGGAGGGAAGCTCTTGAGGAAACATTCTCAGTAGGTTTGTATATTTTCTTAGTCTTGCGCTCTTTTCTTTCTCTTTTTTCTTTCTCTTTTTCTTTTTTTTTCTTTCTCTTTTTCTGTCTTTTTTCTTTTTTTTTTCTGTCTCTTTTTTCTTTCTCTTTTTTCTTTCGCTTTTTTTTCGCTTTTTCTTTCGCTTTTTTCTTTCGCTTTTTTCTTTCGCTTTTTTCTTTCGCTTTTTTCTTTCGCTTTTCTCTTTCACTTTCTCTTTCACTTTTTTCTTTCGCTTTTTGCTTTTCTTTTTCTTTCTCTTTTTTCGTCATACCGCAAATGTACATATATTGAAATAAATCAATTTTTGAAATCATATAAAAAATATCGGGCACATGTTTTCAGATATATCTTGAGGAAATGTCACCTTGAACGTGTATCGAACGTTCTTTTGATATGATCCAGTAAACATTGAAAACAACTGCAGTGACTCAGTTAGAGATATGGAGTTTAAGATTCTTTATGTGTTGTACTTATACTTATGGAGAACTTACAAGCGGAACATTCTTTCTTTTTTATTTTCATTCTTATTTTCATTGTCATTGTCAGGGGCAGGCCGGCGGAGCGGAGGGAGGCGGAGGGCGGAGGCGGAGGGGAGGCGGAGGGGGGAGGCGGAGGGCGGAGGCGAGGGCGGAGGCGGAGGGCGGAGGCGGAGGGCGGAGGCGGAGGGCGGAGGCGGAGGCGGAGCGGAGGGCGGAGGCGGAGGGCGGAGGCGGAGGGCGGAGGCGGAGGCGGAGGCGGAGGGCGAGGCGGACGCGGAGGCGGACGGCGGAGGCGGAGGCGGAGGCGGAGGCGGAGGCGGAGGGCGGAGGGAGCTTATTCTTATCTTATTCTTATTCTTTTTTATTCTTCTTATTCTTATTTCTTATTCTTATTTCTTATTCTTATTTCTTATTCTTATTTCTTATTCTTATTTCTTATTTTATTTCTTATTCTTATTTCTTATTCTTATTTCTTATTCTTATTTCTTATTCTTATTTTTATTCTTATTTTTTATTCTTATTTTTTATTCTTATTTTGCATTTTCATTCTTATTTTCATTCTTATTTTCATTCTTATTTTCATTCTTATTTTCATTCTTATTTTCATTCTTATTTTCATTCATATTTTCATTCTTATTTTCATTCTTATTTTCATCTGGCCACGACCACGAAGAGCTCTTTTGCTTCAGGAAGCCAAGCTTATTGCTTGGGAACAATTCCCTGTGGCTGATTAATCTGCGATTCAATGTTTAGATCAATTGCTACAAGTGTTAATGGTGAAGGCGACCGATTTTTGATGGGGGCATTCTCAACACTCGGGGATTTCACCAGGTAACTCCCATGCTTGAAGGGTCAGTCTGTGGGTGAAGTTCTACATTTTGAATGCTACGGTCGTTAGCCCCAGTTCAGGCTGCCGCTAATCCTGTATACTCAGGTCAGATTGATTGCATCGGAGACGGCTGCGAACACAAGGTTTCACTCTAAATTCTACAGCATTAAGTCGAATCTTTGGAAAATATCTCTTCCTGTCGGACGTATTGTCAAGTTTAAATTTGCCTGCTTAATGATCGTTTTTGAGCACACTCGAGAGATTCTTAGATAAATTCAAGGATATTTCCGTACAAGCATTCTGGAGGCAAGGGTTTGTTTTGAAAGACCACAGAAAAATCAAAATGAGAAAAAATTGCTCAAGTTGGCTAGAAATATACATTTTCTTATGAATGCATCAATGAAGACAAACATAATACGTAGCACCGTGATCCGATGCCCTCATGGAGTACTGAAGTTCTCTATGAGAACCCTGCATACTAGATAATATTTTTCGCCTCAACGTCGGAACTACCTGTAGCCTCTATCGGAGTCCTTCTCTGTTAAGAAGACACCGTTCGACATGTGAACTCATGAACTGACCTACACACCCGTGCCTAAGGATGGCGGCGCGTCAGCGCCGCCATCCTTAGGCACGAGTAAGAGACTATTCCTGATCATGGATGAAATAGAAATTTTAAAAAGCGATTCATTACGAGCAGAAACATTATTTAGCCTACCCAGAATAAATTTTGCCTTTCAACCACCGTTCGCTCTATAAATTGTCGAGTCAATTTCGATTCCCATTCACACGGCCAATTTCACAACTTTTAACAGCCGTGAAGAACTGACGTTGGATTGCATCACCATTCATCATCTCAAAATTACACAAGTATTTCTCGTGTCTGACGGATGCAACATGCACGGTTGGTAGTTTTAGAGGACAATGCTGATTTTACCACTGGAAATATTGGTTATCAAAGACCGCTTCTGCTTAGCGAATGAATTTTTATTCTATAGATTATATATCTAAATCCCAGGTTACTTCAAGCTGCCATAACTTCCCTCTGCAGCGCCATACTTAATCATTTTTTTTTGTCATTTCACTAGGAACATTTGACAGGCTCTTCTGTGCATGCGATGCGCCTGCATTATAAAGGTTTGTAACAGAAACGGGTTCGGTACTAATCAGCACTTTACACCTAGTCCAAGCGACAACAATGGCGACAGATTGTAACTGTGGAGGCCGGCCGAAGGCCGGCCACAAAGCACACAATCTCTTGTATATATATAATCTTCAATGGGTTGGATTGGGTTATCATGGCTAAAAAAACAACAAAACTTATACCTAAGGTCTTGTGACGGTCATCTGAAGAGACAAAAACAAAAAGAAATAAAACACTCCGCCATACAGTCTGTGTAACTTTTTATTTCTCGCTTGGCGTTGGAACTACAGAAGACGAACAAACAAACATTCCAACCCCGCAACCCGCGGTTCAAAATCTTTCATTAACATGATATATACACGAACACAAATAGATAAATAACATCAAATGTTTATGCATAATTACAAAAACAGAAATATGCTCATGGGAATACGCACATGACAATACAATGTATACGATCAATATGATACCCAAACTCTTCTGCTATGTACCACTACATATCATCATAAATTCCTTAGAACTCAAAATTTACCAGGTAGATATTGATAAAGAATTCGACCTGCAGATGTAACTCCGTAACCCCGTATTGATACTGTGGTATAATAAGCTTATGCTTAGATACATGAAATACGAATGTCGTGATAATAAGGCCAGGGGATTGTAATACGGCTTGAGAGCTGTATACGTATCACAAGTTGAAACCTGAAACATGACGGCCGAGTAGTTTCAGCTTTCTGATTTCCAGAGATCTTTGAGGATAGTAGAGGGGGGGGGGACTCGGTGCCCAATAGCGGCTTAAAGCTATACTTAAAGTGAACTGGGAATTGGTTTATGTTGATTCTGTATGACAATTGCCAATGAGCTATAACACTCGAGATACATACAGTGGAGAGGATTTTGTAGTAATGTTTTGTATTGGCTAGCGGGACCACTCCTACATGAAAGCGCCTCGCTAGCTCAATCGGTTAGAGCGTCAGACTCTTAATCTGAAGGTTGCGGGTTCGACCCCCGCGTGGGGCTTTCATGTTTTTATTTTTATTGGTTCCGTTAATTCCTTACTTGAGTTCGAATAGCTTTTCTCTTCGTCTTTCCG